TGCCCAGAGTCACCCCCAGTCAGGGGAGGGGAGACAGCTATCAGTAAGTCTGGCCCACATCCACAGGCAGGAGTGACAAGGGTACATTGTGAAATCATTACACTTGGCACCTACCCATGATGAGATGCGGCCTCGTTGTCATTAACAGTGGTGCAAGCTGAGAGTTCTCACCTGGTATACAGAACCTGTGTACTGTCGGCTCTGTGACAGCAGCGGCCGGGACTTGGTATCCCCACACGCCCACGGCCAACACCTCGTGGAACCACACAGCCAAGCCACAGGGCCACCTGTGTGAATCGTGCATCCTTGGGCCAAGCCTGAGAGGTGGCCTTGCCCGCCTGGCTGCCCATGACAGTGAAGAATGGCAGCGCTATCCAAGGGTGCGCGCTGGCCCTTATCACAGAAGCACTCAGCCGACAGCTCCAGCTCGCCCGCTCAGCACTCTTGGGCCAGGGCGGCAGTAAGACACCAACGTCGCACTCGACAAATGCTCCGCGTGACTGGGCAGCCAGACAGGAGCAGAATGAAATCACAGGGAGGGAGGCTGGCCTGGCTCCCCTGCCAGGTGCTCAGTGGACACGTGGGCTTCGGGAGAGAGAATCTAAGAGGAAGAAAATTAGAGCGCTTGGCCATAAAGGGCATTGATGACTCAGGGACCCGTCACTCCAGCCAACGCCAGCAGAAAGGCCTTGGCTGGCCCTGCTCTCTGGAGGACAGGATGCCCTCGAGACTTCAACTCACAAAGATTCAATCAGCTAATAAGTATCCTGGGTCGGGAGGACCAAGGTTTTTCAATTTTGAGCACCGCAGAGGACAGATGTGGGGCCCCCCGCAAGTCTGAACCTGACCCTTGTTCTGGTTGGCGGGTGGGAAGCCAGAGAGGATGTGCCTCAGCTTTGATGCATACTGGGCTGCATTTAAACAAAGTTCCCGGAAAGTCACTTCCTGTCTACGAGACTGCTTCCCCATCTTGTCAAATAGGGGTGGCGACCACACGCAGGGCAGTTTGCTACCCACCATAGGTGCACGGACTCATTTGACAAGAGCAGCACTCTAGGGCATAGCTATAAATGTTCCCAGGATTCAACCATAAGCAACTAGCTTGTGACCAAAGCCATATGGGGAAACCGAGGCACAGAGCAGCCACACCACCTGCCTAAATTATAAGAGGCAGAGCTGGGGGTTGAGCCTGAGCAGCCTGGCTCTGAGGCCTGCACTTCAAGGGCATAGAGAGAAGGCTGCCTGGGCCACACACAGCACATAGTAGGGCTCCAGAGAGCCCCTTCTCCCTAGAAGAAAAGCTGCCCACAGCCCACATTGAGGAGGGTCTCCTACGCCCACAGCACTTAGGGATCTGGGAGGTTCAGTGTGCCCCACAGCTCCAGCCTGGGGCGGGACAGAAGGTGACTCACAAAGGTCCTTTTTCCCTGGGAGGTTGTGGGAGATGTCCAGGTATAGGACCAGTGGGCAGGCAGAACACGAGCAGGTTTGGGTGCCTTTTTGACAACAAGGCTTGCAGAAGAGCAAACAGGTGAGGGCTCAAGGCCAGACAGGCGGGCTAAGGCTGAGGACAGATGAAAGACTCTCGGGAGCCCTGACTCAGAAAGGTCCCTCCAATACCTGGCCTGGGCCAGGGGTCACGGAGAGCAGCCACTCCACCCAGGCCATGCTCAGGCCAGCCTGTTCCTGTCTATAACCCTGCACCTTATTCCTGGTGGTCCCGTTGTGCTCCCGGGAGCTTTCACTGCCATTCTTTAGCCACCCGGGACCCTGCTGCTTTAATCATTATCGCAGATGGTGAAGCTGGGATCTGTGACACTGAGTCTATGCAGAGGCTGAGGCCAGGAAGCCTGCCCTCCCCCGAGTGGAGGTGGTGGCTGCCACCGCCTGGTCCCTGAATCATCTGGAGCTGCAGCAACAAAGCTGACAAAGGTCAACCTGCAGCCCTTGGCCAAGGACTCTAAACCACCAGCCACTCCTGCGCCACTCCCCAACACCTCTGCTTATTTCCCAGCCCGCCTGGGGACCCCTCCCTGGCCACTCGGAGTACCAAGCTCGGTCCCAAATTGTCCATCAGGATTCCCAGCTGCTTGGACAGTCACCCAGATATGAGGCTGTCTCAGTGTGTGTGCTGCTGTCCCAGAGGGCACTCACCAGCTTGTCCCCTGTCTTTATGACCCCTCCATGCCAAGAGGTGGACTTTGCATCCAGGAGGCTCTGAAAAAGGAACTGTGACATCAGAATATCACTGCTGCAAGAGGATGCCCCCATCTTTACACAGCACTGTCGCATGGGCATTTCTATGTGTCTGTGAGGACCAGGACTAGGCTCCTCGTCTAAAGGGCCCGTGACCCAGGCAAGACCAAGACTGATGCCAACCAACTTGGAAGACAGAGACCTAGATGGGAAGGTAAGCATGTTCTCAGGCTCTGACTGTATCTGGGGTAGCAGAGCTGAGAATGTACCAAGGTCCTCCAGCACCAAGGTCCGGCTCCAAGGAAGTATGGTGGCCCACCTGAAGTCACCTATAGGAGACTGGGCATAAATCTGGGGTCCTATAGTGTGGGCTGGCTCTACCATATCTCCCATGCATGTCCCTGGCTCCCCGGGCTTCGGGGTGAAGGTGACAAGCACAGCAGAACTCCATAGTGGCATATAAGCGAATTCTGAGCAGAGTGTTTGGGTCCAGTTGTCATTCAACTTAAAATAAGAAAGGATCAGGGTCAGGAGAGGACTGGGGGGCCCAGAAGTGTGTGAAGCTTCCTTGGACACAGACACCGACACACACACTGCCCTCTCTGGTCCAATCTGCTGAGTCTGTGAGGGCCAGGCCGTCTCACCATGCCCTGAGCCCCTTACAGTGCTGTTCATCACCCGCCCAGCCCAGCGTATATGTAACTGAGCAGACTCCCAGGGTAGTAGCCAATAGGGCTCATAAGCGACATTCTCAGAGGGCTATCTGTTCTGAGTAGGTCCCACACACACCACCATGGACAGCTGCCTCTGCTGGCCTGGAAGGAACCAAGGCCTGTGCATGAGACTGTCCTGTCCAGCTCTGCCCAGAAGCTCCCCCAAGACACTCAGAGGGAATGAACAAAGTCAGTCCTTGGGAGAGCTACGTGGCAAGGCTGGTCTTGGAGATTAAGTGTCAAATGCTCAGAGGAGATGTTACAGTTCAGAAGTCTCACAGGTTCAGAGGTGGGGCTTTGGGAAGGTGATCGGCTTTGGGGGTGCTGTGCTCACTTGGTGGATTTATGCATTTGTGAGTTCCTATCTGGAAGGCTGTTAGGAGGTGGGACCCATTGGCAGAGGTGGACCACTGTGGGGACCTTTGGAAGGGGTATCTCTCGCCCTGCCCCTTCCATGTCCTCTCTGCTGTGGGGTGAGTAGATTTTCCCTGCCCAGGCCCTTCCACCATGTTGCTATTGGCTTGGAGTCAGTCAACTTCTGAAACAGTGAGCCAGTATAAACCTGTTTTCTTCTAATGATGGGTCCCAGGTATTTTTGTTGCAGGGACAGGAAAGAGACTAATGCACAAGTATTCAAGAGAAAATGGGCCAAGTTTCTTAAACATGTTGGGAGGGACATGGTGAGTTGCCTGCTCAGTTAGATGAGAACAAACAGAGGGCTGTGACAATTGACACTTGCTTTATATTACTCTGTGTTCCTATGCACTCTGATTACTCTAATAATGAAGAATTAGGAGAAGAAAACTCTAAACGTTTAACCCAGCATTTCCCAAACATTTGGTGATTGTTTCATGCATTGCTAGAAACATCTGCCAGAATTGCAGATATGCATGGAATAGAGTTGGAGAAAGATAAAGTGGCCCAGCTTCTAACAGTGAAAACCATGGTCCCCCTCCCTGGCTCCTTCCTTCTGAGAGGCCTTGTCAATACTGGGTGACTCCAAGACGAGAACTGAGAGTCAGGGGGTGGCACAGTGACACCACACTCCGGAACAAATCCCTGCTCCAGCTCCTGGCCCTGTCGTCTGAGCATGGAGTAGGGGCTGCATAGAATGGCCCCTCTGATTCCTCTGGTGGGATATTCCAGGATTCTAGGCTTCACAATGACCAACGTAGGGAATATCCTGAGAAGTATAACCAACCTCTGCCTTACAAAAACGGTAACTGAGACTCGGAAAGGTCCATCAGCTTCAAGGTCAACAGAGAAAAAATGGAGTCCAAGACCACCATTTTGTCATTGGCCTTGGGATCAGAGTCCTCTGCGCTGTGCTCTCAGGAGCTGCTGTTTGCTGAGCCAGTCCCGGAATCAGATGGAAGGGGTTTCAAGCTCTGCCTCATTATGGTTTTGATCTAGGATGTCCCCTCAAACTCTCACGTGTTCAGAAGTACAGCTTTTGGAAGGTGACTGGATTATAGGGAGGCTATAATCCTGAGTTGATGAACCCACAGCTGAATGTGCTCTTAGGGGATGGGCCCTGCTCAGAAGAAACGGATCCCTGGGATATGACCTGGAAGGGTAAATCTCTGTCCCCAGCTCCTCCTTTCACTCTCTGCTTCCTGGACACCATGACAAGAACAGCCTTCCTCTGACAGAGCCTTCCACCATCCCCCTCCTTTCTGCCTTAAAGCCAGCCCACCATAGACTGAGTCTTCTAAAAAACATGACTCAAAATAAACCTCCTTATTGTGGGAGTCAGGTATTCTGTCCCAGCGACTAGGAAAGTGGCTGAGACAAGGCTCCATAAGTGTATAGCTGTGACCAACTAGTCACTCAGAGTCACAGTTGACTCTTCTGTGACCGGGAACACCATCTCATTGGTTACATGTAGTTGTCTACAATACCACACTTAACACTGGGCCCAGCACTCTTAAATCTTTGGTAAATCAGAACTACTGTATAATTTCTTTCACTCTATAGGTTAGTCAGGGGTTGAGAGAAAAAATAGAGGTAGAGATTAAACTCAAGGTGATCCGAGCCCCTTTCTGAAGCCCAATTTTCTTATATATAACAGGGAAGGGGGACAGTGGCCTGGGTAACTTCTGGGAGCCCCTAGATTAACAATCTGAAGGTCTCTGTGGGATGCCTTTTCCCTCAAGGGTCTGGAGAAATCTGCCCTCCTGCAGCCTTTCACCCTTTTCTGGAGATAAGTCTGTGGGTGATGATGTCGGTCAGCTTTCCATCATTATAGCAAATACCCAAGAGGAACAATTTATGAGGAAAGGTTTACTTGGCTCGTGGTTTCCGAGGTTCCAGTCCACAATCAGCTGGCCGTCACTTTGGGTGAGGCAGCACATCGTGGTGGAAAGTCCACGGTGGGGTAAACTGCTCACCTTATGGCGACCATGAAGCAAAGGGAAAGAGAGGAGTCTGGACACCAAACATCCCCTTCAAGGACAAACTACCAACGACGTAACTTCCTTCTACCTCCCAACAGCACCACAGGCAGCAGACCAAATCTTTAATGCATGGGCCTTTATGGGACAGTCAAGATCCAAATTAGAGCAGCGATGCACTGGGACAGGAAGGACAGGGCAAAGATGGGAGCTAAGATAGAGCAAAGAGAACATGAATTGGGCTCTTCCTGTGTTTCAGGTATGGTTTTAGGAGCTTTGCACAATGGACTCATTCAGCACCCAGAACAAGCCCGTGAGGTGGGTACCAGTTAGCCCAATTTGCAGATAAGGAAACCAACATGCAAAAAAGTGAAGTAACGTGCCCATAGTCACAGAGTTGGTGCAGTAGGACTTGATCCCAAACTTCCCAGAACACCAATCCCCCAAGACCACAGCTGGGCCCTGGGGGCTGCTGGCTCTGCACTCCCTGTAGTCTTCAGGGAACCAGGCACATTCTCAAGGTGGGAGTTGGGTCCCCATTGGGAAACCAATCCTTTGCCTACACACTGGGGACCTGTGAAGTGTCAAGAACATTGTGCTCGAAGCAAAAAATGCAGATCCCTCTCCCAGGGCTGCAGAGGTCTCTGGTCTCAGTGTCACCAAAAGAACAGAGGGGTCTAAATAGCTCCTTGGTGGCTGGCGACCCACAGGCCAGGCATCAAGGGTCAAGGTGTCAGAGGCTGCTTAATCTGCTGTGGTCCCAATTGCCCCAGCTCCCGTGGCCCCTATGGAAGTCACTCAGTGCAAGGCAGTGTGCTCTCAGACACTGTGAGAAAATGTTTGTTAGTTCTTGACACTAATATTATTTAAGGCCCAAGTCTAATGTAAGGCTTCCTTTTAGCAAGTTTGTCTCATTTAATAAAACTCCCTATCTCTGTCCCCCAAGCTAATCACTCTGATGATAATGCATTCCCTGCGCTGAGATTTGATCTGGGAATAGAATTATCCCACCGCCTCACTTTGCTGTCAGATGTTCTATTTGGTTTTTGGTTTTTTGTTTTGTTTTGTTTTTTTCGCCTTAGAATAAATAAACAGGAAGGACCTGGGTGAAAAGCTCTGCTCACTTGGGACTTTCAGTGGCTGGCTTCCTTACTGGTTCACTTCCCGTCCTCAAGGATCCTTCTCTCACTGATTTGAGCAACAAACTTTTCCCAAATCACTGTACCCTAAGCTGCCCCGGCATCACGGTGCAAAGTAAGTCACCTGATCTGTTGGTGTGTCTGTTCATCCGTGGGTGGAGAGGACATACTCAGTGCAGGAGCTGAAGAGTCATGCAGAGCCAGGTTCGAATCCCAGCTCTGCCTCTCCTTGTGTCACCAGGAGCATGTCACTCCATTTTCAGGGCTCGGTGTCCTCCTTTAGGACATGATCTAGATCACAGGGATGTTAACAACAGTGAATGAGCAAGTGGGGACCCCTGGTTCATGCACAAAAGAAGTGCTCAAGCCCGGAGTCCCCTGCACGCACACAGCCCTGAGAGAGAGGCCCTCCCAGAGTGTTGCGCACTCTTAAGAAGAAAGGATTCAGTGAGATCAGATATGTCAAGGGCTTGGCATGCAGGGCTTGTTCAGGAAACTGTCGCTGTCATCATCACCATCAACACAACCATCGCCATTATCATCACCATCATCACCATAAACATCATCACCGCCACCACCACCATAATCATTATCACCATAACCACCGCCATTATTACCACCACTGTCATCATCACCACTACCCCCATAATCACCATTGCTGTCACCATCACCACTCCCATAACCACCACCCCCATCACCACCATCACCATCACCGCCATTGCTATTACCCTCCATCAAGTGAGAAGCGAAGGCCATTTGAAATCTCCGAGGGGCTACACAGTAATACGCAGAGTGGATGCTTGGCTGGAGATGGAAAGTCCTGCGCTGTGTGGCTATGAGTTTGTCCTTTCACCTCTCGGTCCTTAAGTCGCCGGCCATGTCCTGCGTTCTCACACTTGGTGACCCACGTACATGTGAATATGTGGGCAGGTATGTCATTCACCCCACTCGCTGTCCACCCCTGGGCTAGTGGAGTCAGGGAGGCCCCCAGCCTGAGGATGCCGCACACGAGGTCATACCTGGCCAGCAACGGAGCCCGGCAGGCAGAGAGGGTGCTTGAAGGCTGGGAGCCTGAGCCTGATGAGTTGCTGCTGACTCCATGTCATGATGGTACCCTGGAAAAGGCACAGGACGCAGGACCGGGTGAGCTGGATTCAAATCACCACCAGGCGTTCACTCTGTGACATAGGCACTCACATGCCTTAGTTCCTTGTCATATGGCATATTATGACAGTCCTGGAAGGAAATGGTCACTCAAGAGGGTGGAAGAAGAAAGTCAAATGAAAGGATGTTTTTGAAAGTGCACAGGGCTAAAAGATACCACAAAGACCCAGTGGGGGACCCCAAGATTTAGAACAGCAGGAGTTGCTGGCACCCTGAGGCCTAAGCACTGTCGGGGCTAGAATGATTCCTGAAGTTCCCGTGGCACGGGAGTTGCCAGGACAGAGATGACAGCCAGCAGGAGGAACCATTGCTAACCTTGGAAGCTTTGCTGACTAAGCCAGAGAGTGAATCAGCAAAGACCCAGTCTTCCCTCCAGCCCATTGATCCTGCGACAGATCCCAGATTCCAAGCGGTTGCTTTAATACCTCCCGGTCCACGCCACGTTCTTCGGAGGGGACATCAACACACCTTCAATCTGGGCACAGCTGTGACCCCAGCCATACTACGAGACTTCAGAAGTTGCTCAGAAAAGTTATACAGTTTCCAGCCAGCCTCACCAGGATGTTTATTCTCGGAAGGCAGTCACCAAGCAGGGAGGAGCCTAAACAGCCAGGTGCAGAGGCCACACACAGTGCTCGGTGCTACCCCTACTGAGCTCCAGCCCAAAGTCAGAGTCTCTTGTCACCTGCATGAGTGGAGGGGCCTTCAGATGACTTCACCCCAGCCGGTGGTCCCAGAAGCTGTGGAGCAGAGGCAAGCCCTGCCTGCGATGCCCCTTCCCAAATGGCCTGCAGCATCATAGCAGGTTAAATAGTGACCACTTTAGGCCATGACAGTTGGGCAGTTGCTATGGGTTACAGTGAAGTGGGTGGTGCAGAGGGAGTAACTGGGACATATTACACAGGCTGCACTCAGCTGGAAGCCAGCTAACTAGCAAATTATTGACTTCGGTCCATGGAGACCAGCAGGGTGGATGAGGTGGAGAATGAATAACAGCTCTTTCCCATCATTGGACACAATGCCCCACACCCACACCTTAACGGAGAGGATTGACTTGGCTCATGTTTTAAGGGGATGCAGTCCATGGTCAGCTGGCTCGAAGGCAGGAGCATCGTGGTGAAAGGGTGTAGTAGGAAAAAGCTGCTTAGTTCAAGGGGCTTTCTACTCTCCCGCCTGCCCACAGCACCTTCTGCATCTTTCCTCCCACCTGGCTCCCGGGATCGTAACCACTCATTTACAGAACCGTGACTGCCACAGGCCAGAACGTGTATCTTCTCACTGTTCCTAAGAAGACAGTGACCGCACTTTCTCATCACGCCACACACAAGATCACTGAAGCAAAGAGATGGCAGTGACTTTGCCCAAAGTCTCCCAGGTGGGAAGGAGCGGAGGGACCCGAGGTCAGGGCCCGGCCATCTAACACCCTCTCACATCTCCACCTCCCGCGTGAGCCCTGAGTGCAGAGCTGCTACACATTTGGGGAGCTGCACACAACCCTCACCGACTGCCGTGGCAGGAATAAAGCCCTCATACCAGATAGAAACAAACCGGTGCGGTGATTCCCGATTCCCACGGCCCCAGCTGCTCGGGGAAGTCTGACGCACTGGCCCTTTTGCTTTTGGAGGGATTTGTTGTCTTCAGCAAGGAGACGCAGGGGAGAAGGTAGAGCGCCCTGGGAAATGTTTCTGCACCATGTCTCAGGGGAGGGGTGGGGAAACATCTCAAAACAGAGAAGATCCTGGTTTGCCCAGCAGCTCTGAGAGGGAGGGAGGCAGGGACTCGGTCCCATTTAGCAGATGACAAAACTCGGGCAGCCAGAGTCAGAGGAGGGACTGAGGTTGCTCAGAGAGGGAGGGGCTGACATCAGCTGTCTTGATGCCTAGGCTGAGTAGGGGCATTGTGGCAAGTGCCCTGCTACCACCACCTCCAGAGTGACCCGGTCTGAGCACCGGGCCCTGTAGGGACCAAACAGAAGCCTCCAGAAGCAGAGTGCCCATTGTCCCCACCCCAGCACCTCCTCCCCGTTTCTGCCTGCAGCTGGCAGACATCAGAGCCTGTGCATTGAATCACCGCCACAAACCATGCTTTGCAGAAGAAAGGAGAGGACTGGTGGCCCGCATGGCCTCCTGGTGACACCCAGTGGGTGACACAGCCTGGGCATGGAATGCAGCCCTCAGGTGGCCCTCCTGGCCAGGAAACGTCTGGAAATTCCCCCACCCAGGCTCCAGGATTGGAAGCAGGTATGGCAGAGGTAGCCCAGCCCCAGGCTGAAGACAGGAGCCCTCCTGTACTTCGACCTGGGCCGATCCACAGCTCTTTGCATCTCAGTTTCTTCCTTTGCAAAGGGGCACACACTGCCTTCACACTTGGGCTAAGTGCTCCTCTCCAGAGGTCAAACCGCAAGGGTGCTTCACTGTCACCGGCCTTGGTCACGCCTCTCCGTCTCCCCTACTCCTGATTCGGTGCCCAGAGCCAGTCCGGGCCAGGCCTGGTGGGAGAAAACCCCACAAGCCATGGCCTGCAGGCATGGCCAAAGTCCCAGGGGTAGCAGTGAGCATCAGAGAGGGGGAACCAAGGCTGGGGTCGGGAGCACAGGGCCAGGCCCTTGGGGACATCAGCAGCCAGCCCAGACAGACTGTTCTCTCTGAGGTCCTGTACACACACTTACTTATATCTTGCTTGTTCTGAGTCAAGAAGGTGCTTAGAGCATGTGCCGATCCGTACAGGTGAATGACGACGCATAAAGTACTGCAGTAAAATGTAACTTAGAATTAGATAAGAACTTAAGAAGTGAAACAGAGGAGAAGACATTACCTGAGCCGAAAACCTAGTGAGTTTTTAAAAAATGAAGATTGTAAAGTCTTAAATGTGTGCCAAAGGGTTAAACTTTTAGAACTGAGCTTCCTGGTGGCAAGTGCACAAAGAGAAACTTGGTCAGTTACACAAAGTCTGACAATAATTGAATTTAGAAGGCCCAATACATGGGAAAATCATAACTGTGTTTGGTTGTAGACCAGGCACTTTTCCTGGCTCTCAGAATAGACATCATGACAAATCTCATGATGATGTTCTGGGACATTTTGACATACATACAGTTCAGTAAAAGTAAATCAGATAATACGCTGAGAAAGGCATCCTCTCCTCTTGGCATAGGGCACAGACAGACGAGGCTGGGTGTTGTAAACATAAAGAATTCTTGCTATTTGTTTATCAAAAATTTATCTCTAGCCAGGTGTGGTGGCACATGCCTGTAATCCCAGCACTCAGGAGGCTGAGGCAGGAGGATCGCTGTGAGTTCAAGACCATCCTGGGCTACATAGTGAGTTCCAGGTCAGTCTCAACTACATAGTGAGACCCTGTCTCAAAAAACCA